AATAAAAGAACTGAGGGTTGAGACAAGAACACAGAAGGAACACCCACCTAACCCTGGTCCCAGGCAAAACAGGCTTGGCTTTCTCAAAACAAAACAGTTTATTAACAGTTACTTAAAAAGGACAAAGGGAAACAAAACCGGTTACTTGAGAGGATAAAGAGAAAACAAAGCCAGATCTTAAAAACACCACCTCCCCACCCCCCTTTCCTTTTCTTCTCGCCTCTACCTCCTCCCCCCAGAGACGCAGGGGGACAGGGAATGGGGGAGTGCAGGTCAGTTCATCCATATTGTTACTGCCGCTCCTTTCTTAAAGGAGGAGGAGTCCTTACACCATTTTCCCTTGCTCCAGTGGATCCCCTACTCACAAGGAAAATTCACAAACTTCTCCAGCGTGAGTCCTACCCGCAGGACACAATCCTTCCCCATCGGATTGCTCCAGTGCGGGCTTCACCACAGTCTCGGATTCTTAGGGAGTTGTGGCCACTCACTTCAGCGTGGGTCGTCCCACGGACTCTAGATGCCTCACGACCTTGTCGTGCGTCCCATGCTCCACTATTAACAGTTACTCGTTGTGCATCCCGTGCTCCATGACCTCTCCTAGGCTCAGGCATCTCTTCCCCAACGTGGGTTTTTCCATGGGCTGCAAGCAGGTCTCTGCTCCACCGAGTCCATCCTGGCTGCAGGGGGCCACCTGCCATCTTGCCACCGCTTGCAGGGGAAACTCGGCTCCAGCACACCTCGTCCTGTTCCATCTTCACTGACCTGGTGTCGGTGTGGCTGTTTCTCTCAGATCTCAGTCCTCTCTGGGTGAACTCGGCTCAGTGGGCACCCCAGGAGTGGGGTGCTCCCCGAGTTCCCCAAGCAGCTCTGCCGCTGCCATCCTCAGCGGGTGGCGCCGGGCACCGGGGAGCGGGGGCAGTGCCCTCCTTCTCTCTCCTTGCTCCTGGGCAAAGGCACACCTTTCCGGTTCCTTTGTCCCAACTTAAATAGGGCAATTCGCAGAGGCACTGATTGGCTCAACCCCGAGGGAGGATGAGAGTCCAATCTGGTAGAGCAAATTCTCTCTCCTGCTGCCAAAACCACGCGCCCCCCAACATCAAACCATCACAGAGACAATTCTTGACGCAAGCCCAGTGCAATTGGCTCTTACAACAGCTTAGGAGATAGGACACTTTTTTCTGATACAGTCCAGGTTTCACCATAGATGTCAATGCCTGACCCAATCTGTGAAAGCATCCGACGTCCTTTTTTAAATTTGAAAAATATACATCTGTAGTTAACAGAGATGCCTAATTACAGCCTCTTCCAGAACAACAACAACAACAAAAAATTTCCCTATACCCAAGTCAAACCAGTTAAAGACTCAAATTCAAATTCTGGGACCATTTCCAAACGATCCAGTTTGAAGTACAGAAGCTGCTGGGATTTTGAGGCATTGGCTGTACAGGCAGAAAAGGAAATGTCTTAATGAGATATGCAAAGCAGCATGGTCTCTGGGATAGGGCACCAGATTGGGATTCAGGAAACCTGGGTTGTTATCACAGCTCTGCTATTGCTTCTTTGCCTTCATGTGCTTTAGATTCCCTTCTAGCCATCTGCTTGTCTCAGTTACTCAGCGCAATGTACCCAACCTTCCTGTACACATATCGCCTGAGAAATTTGGTCATGTTCCACCTCTTGCTCTTCCTGATTCCTTCCTCTCTTCCCTTAACCCAGCACATAGGATGATTATCACTCCTTCATCAGCCCCCACTTGGAGGCAACTGCCTTTCTTCCTTCTCCCCTCCGTTGCTGGCTGTGCTCCTGGCCCTGGCAGAGCTGGCACTGGGCTAACAAGGCCCACTAGACCTGTCCAGCTGTCTGGACCTACTCAGATGCAGTCTTAGTCCCTGTTCCCGATCCTGGCAACATGACATGGAGCACTATGGGCTGGCCTTGCATCCCGCGTTGTTTATTAGCTTGTATCCTGACTGCCTGTACTGTCCTTTCCTCTTTAGTTGGAACTACTGATTTGAACTGGAGAGTGCAGATAATGGAGCATAAGCCCTTCAGTGCTTTGCAATGGCTAATAGGACAGGTAGATATTTATGTGAACCCCTTCTGTGAGGGGAGCCTGGTGAAAACTGGTTGCTGACACAAGCTGCCTAGGAGGCAGTCCTTCTCTTGAGTGTTTGTAGATGCCTCTCTGCTACAGACATGTCTTGGATGCTCAGGCCCAAAGTGCAAAAAGCAGTACAGGCAGGAACAGCAGTTTCCCTGCGCTCGAGTGGAAATCATTGTAGATTTAACAGTAAAAGCACTGCTGATCAGTGTCCCTTCCACAGCCAAGTAGAAAAGTTGCTAAGAGAAACAGCACCACAGCAGAGAGGTTTACCCCGACAGTTTTGTAGAAACGCTGGATCTCGGCATACTTGTGGGAACATTCGTTGATTCTTTCATATATCCATTGTTGACTTCCCTTGACAGTCCAACTCTGAAAGATTTGAATTTTCCTATCCTGGAGTTGATGTCCATAGTCATGAACGGGAAGGAGAGATTTTGTTTTGATCAGAATCCCCCCATCATAGCATCATGGCTCTCAGAGCAAACTAATGAAACACATTTTTAATCTTTTAATCTTTTCTATGAAACACATTTTTAATCTTTTGATCTTTTCTATTACTGTCACTTACAAATACTTTTAGATGTCTTCCTGAGTGCACATGCGTAAATATGTTCACAGAAAATTGGGAAGTACTTTGTCAATCCTTGCAAAATTTCAAATAATTATATTTTAGCAGCCTGACTATCAATGTAATGAATTTAAACAGAGAATATTTTTAATAGCTCATCAAAAATAAAATTTTGCTGATTCACTTATTTCACATGCCTTTCCATTGGAAAGAGCAGAAAGAGCTTTGCATTGAACTTTGTTATTGTCATGACTGTGGGAACCTGCACTTTCTCTAAATCTGTTGTTTGTAGTTTGAAACAAGGTCAAGACCACCTCAGTTCTGATTAATGTTAACTGGGGATCTGTCTCTAAATGTAAATGTACCTAGTAAAGCCTTCTCCAGCATCTACCTTGACCGTTTCCCCAGAACCGTTAAATCTGCCAATAAGCCTCCACAGTCCAGGAACTCCAGCTAGGACGTGTGAATGAATCAGAGGCTGCTGGAATCAGGAATGAGGCCAAAGAGACTGTAGAGATAGCTATTATTTAAGGGTAATTGAGCGGAATGGGCAATGGAACAAGCTAAAATAAAACAGAAGCCCCTCAGGATGTCCATGCTTTGCCTTTCACCCTGCGGCTGAGGTCCCGGGTTCTTGGTTGAGTAAATCTGCTTTTCTGCTTCTCTCAAAAAAGAGCCTAAAAACTGCTTATGTTTTCTAATGCAAAACTGTGTACTCCCATCCATGCTAATGTGAGAAGGGCTGAGAGACGGTCCATTTGGGTTGCCTTCCTGTGCCTGTGTGGGATATAATCTATACTTTCTGGCAACGAAAACTGAATAGAGGGTTTTGATCTTGGCTACTTGGGAAGTTAAGCATCTCACTGCACACGGCATTGAAGAGCACCTTTAGTGAGAAACAGAGAACTTTTCACTACATCAAAACATGCACAAGTGGGAATTTAGGTACCTCGTTTTAGCTCTCTTGAATCTGGCTATAAGGAATTGACCTATGAATTAGAATTAAGGCACTTATTTAATGATTTTTAGATACTTTTAAAAAGTGTATTGTGCACAGTACTAGTCTATATGCATGATTTAATTCCCATTCCCCTTGTCCCCCCGTCCCTCATTCGTTGTCACTTGCAGGTTCTCTCTTTTTGTCTGTAGTAGCAGACTCTGGGTTGAGGTGAGACCGTCCTGTTTGGGTGGAGGCTAGATCTTGCTTTAATTGAACAGGCAAAACCAGAGAAGGACTTTGATACCAGTTGGCTACATGTGGGCTAAAATGTAAAATCCGGAAGATACAGTAAATGGACTGCTCAAATCGTCAGGCTGTGTGTTATAATTGGGAAGAAAAGAAACCAACAGAAGATTTTGCATGTTCATGTTCCTGTGAGTCATTGGTGGGTTATATAGGTCTTTGGTTAGGGCCAGATACCATTTGTGACTCTGCTGGTGGTTCACCTAGCCCTTGAGTATGATGTTTCCGTGCTGTACTTTCCTCAACTGTAAAAGTGAATTGTTTTTATTCATTTCCCAGTGTAAAAGCTTCCAGATCCACAGGAGAAAAAGTTATACAGGGCCTGTTTCCAAGTCCACTGAAGACAATGGAAAGACCCTTATAAAAGACTGTAAATCCCTGAAAGCACAACATAGGACTCATTTTATAACTGCAATCAATGTTGTGGGGGTTAACTCACAAATTCATGATAAAATATTTAGTCTCATGATGCATTTTCTGTGAACAATGGGTAGATACTGTTCACAGTTCATTATATCAATAATAATAATTCTGAAAATGTATTAATTATCCCTGGTTTAGGGCTTAATGGAAGCAGCTTATAATTTCAATTCTATGAAGATAGAAATATTATTTCTATAAATTAATATTATTTCTATCTGTAATATGTAACATACAGTGTGTTGCAAAATGGTTTTAGAAACATTCAAGCCATTTTGGGATTATGTGGTCACAGGTGTTACAAATTGTTTTGCAATTCTGTAAACATTCCTTCTTCATTTCAATTTGAATTTATTCAGAAGCATTAGCTCTACCAGTGATGTGGATATCGTGGGTCTTCTCTTACAGTGCCCTTTGGAACACGTAAGGGAAAAAAAAGGTGTCAGATTTCTTGTTGGACCAATAATGTTTTCATGGATCCTCACCTAAACAAGATGTTGAGTGTGACCATTAAGTGGGCAGGATCCAGAGAGTACCGACTCTGTGGTTTAAGGGTTTCTTGACCAGAGTCAAAATGTGAAGTACTTTCATGATCCAAACACAGTTTGAGTGTAAGATTTTCATTGCTCTAGTGCAAATACAGTGTCTATCTTCTGCCCATAAAGGTTACGGCAGAGTTAGATGCCTGGAATGAAGATCTGCTGAGACAAATGAATGATTTCAATACCGAAGACCTCACTCTGGCTGAACAGCGTTTGCAGCGTCACACCGAGCGGAAGTTGGCCATGAACAACATGACCTTTGAAGTCATCCAGCAAGGACAAGATTTACACCAATATATCATGGAGGTCCAGGCTTCAGGTGAGCAGAACAATTTGGTCTCTATTCTACATGAAAAAAAAAGCAAAAAAATGAACAAAAAAAACCCCAATAAAAATCCCAAACCCCAAAAATGCATATCAAGAAAAAATACTCCGATACATATCAAATACATCAGCTTTCAACATAAGTAAGTATGGATAATACCTGTCTCTCCACTCCCAGAGCTGTTCCACAAGTTTTGAGATTTTTTGGTTCAGGATTGTACATAAAAAATTGCTGTTTCTTTGAGACTGAAACTCATCGAGGAAATAAAGCTGACTTTCAGGTTTCATTCAGAAAGTTTCACAACAGCAGGACTGAGTTTGTGATCAATTCCAAAGTGAATGGAGAGAGGAGGACAAAACAAGTTACACTGATAGGTCCTTGCCCTTGCCCCAGCTCAGAAACGAGCACTGCAGGGAATGGTGAGTTACAGATACTTTAGCTGGCCGGTCAGACCTCAGGTCTGGATGAAGTCTTGTCGTCGTAGACTCCTAAGCTTGTTAACCTTTCTGCAGCTAGACTGTATCAGCAGGCAAACTGACCAGATGTGTTGGCTTCGTTCTCCACAGACTTCAGTACCTTTTCCCTGTGCCACATTTCAGGGTGCAGACATGCCCGAGGGAGAGAGAAAGGAGCGAAAGCAGAAAGCAACTAGTTATCCAGGAGCCCTCTGGGAAAGAATCCAAATATGAGAGCCTTGAAACCAGCTATGAAATGAAACTCTTGTTTCAAGCCAGCTCTAATTGAAATTGTTTTGTACAAAAATACGATAAACCTTACTGGAATTTTCCTTTTCAGTGTGCACTTGAAAGTTAGAGGCAGCAACTGGGATGTAAAAAAAAACCTTTGGCATGTGCTTTTAAATGACAGACTTGATTCATGTTGATAGGGAGTCTGATACTTTTACTCTGCTTCTCAGCAGTAGGATCCTATTTCTAAGACATCCTATGAATCAAGATTTTTATATCCATGTATTTTGCATTTGGAAAAGGAATATCATAATTCGGATTAATCACTGCATAAAGTTCAGAAATGAATGTTACTTGTGAAGTGTTTTACCCTTCTTAAATGTCTGGAAAGAGTACAAAGGAAGAACAATTCCTATTCTTTCCCTCCCAATTTTCACTTTCAATATAAAAAGGATTTTTATGGTTTTATTCTTCAGCAAACATTTTACCTCTAGGCACCCACCTTTAAAAAAATCTGGCAGTATTCAGCCTGATTTGCCAAACTGCATTCAACAAAGGCTTAGGGACTGCTACAAGAGTATGCTGTGAACTGGACAATCAGGTGCATTGTGTGAACCATGTGTGTGAGATTGTATGGGATCTGCCTACAATATTCCTGGTCCTGCGCTTCAGCTCCCTTGCTTTCTGGAATAGACAACTTGCCGTAATACATCAGTTAAGATGTTTGAGGTTTTGTTTTGGTTTGTTTTTTCCCCCCGTCCTAGAAGAATTTTCATATGGGTAGGAATCCATGGGAGGCAAAGAATGTGATCCAGAACAGAGCATAGTCAGAAGTGTCAGAAACGGATTTTTAGGGGAAAAAAAAATAATTCTGTGTTTGAAAGAAGTTAGAAACAACTTCTTTTATATTGCAGACAAAAGATTAGCAACTAAATGAAATAACTTTTAAAATGTTTTTATAAGATTATCTAAGATCACTTTCTGTGAAGCCTACCCAATAAAAATCCATTGCTCCCAAAGGCAAGGAAGCAGAAGCCTCCTGGGGATGCAGAATAACTGTAATTAATCAAAGGTAATGGTCATATCTGCCATGCATGGAATGCTAAATGCTGAGAGAATGGCAAAATAAGGGAGAGAGATTGCTCTTGGGAGCCTACTGTTTCTTATTTCAGTAAAGGACAGTTACACTCCATAAAAAATTCATTTAATTTTACTCCCTCGTCCTGAATCCTTTCTCATAGTCGTTCAGTACATAAGTTAAGGGATGATTGTTCTTCCTGCCAGAGCTGCAAACTCGCAGGGGTTCTGGGAAATCAGCTGCTATTGCTACTTCCTATTGTACAGTGTCACCACTGCTACAATCAAAACTCAGCTGTAGCCATAGAAGATAAAGCCAGAAAAAGTGTGATTTTTCAGGGATGTTCTACCTAACAAGCCACTCTTAATTGACCAGGTTTCTTCCCTTTCCTATAATTCTCCTTGAGCTTTATTCTTTTTATCATGTCACACAGGAAACTGATTCAATTTTGATTACTCTGGCGTTTGGCTTGGAGGTCTTTAAGCTAGTAAGTCTGTCAGATAAAATTACATCCAGGTTTTTCCACACATGATGCCTTTTTCACTTGGAATTCTGGTGCAGATAGAAAAAGAAGTTTTAGCCATTCACCCATGATTTTTGCATGTCCGATGCAGATTTGGAGCAGTGATTCTTCCCAGGCTGTGGAGTCTGGATATCCTGCGAACAGTGTCACGTTGGTACAATAAATGCAGTGGTCTTGTGATGGACCGTGTCAGACTGTGCAGATATTCAGGGCATCCGTGCATGTGAGTCATCTATGCCAGTCCAGTATTTCCAAAGCTCTGTACAGCTCAGAGTTACATTCCTGTGATTCCTTCCACTTCTCCAGCACATGTGGGTGAACCTGGTTTGGATTAGTCTTTTTTCACCATCAGAATAATTATTCTTCAAATGAATGTTTGTTTTTATTAGGGGATATGTAAGATCTCAAAGTCAGATTGTGTTTTCTGAAATTTAACAGTACTTTCAAATTGTCTTCAACTTGTCAGATTTTAGTCTCACTAAAATCTATGTCCTTCAGGAAACAAATTTGCATTTAGAGAATATTGTAACAGCATTCTCAAGAAAACTGGACTTTTTAATGAGCCAGCACTTTTTATTTCAATGAAGCTATCTTCTATTTTTCCAGTTTGATTGTAGCTCTATGACTGATGCAAAGCTAAATATGCAGGCAGACATTCTCAAAAATGGATATTGATTTTTAGGTGTCTAACTTGATATGTTGAAAGGGCCTGGTGTTTCCAAAAGTGGCAACTTGGACATTTCTGAGAAATTAATTTCCTATGGAAAGTTTAGGATCATAATTCAGCAGTGATTTAACATCTCAACCCAAGACGCAGTGATGATGCGCTGATGCAATTCGTTAGCGTACGCACCTTTAGTCATTCTTCTTCTCGGTACTAAAAGTAGTAACACTCTAATAGCTGATTAATTGATTGCATAAATGTAGTTGGTTATTAAAGTCCATTTGCATTGTCAGTATCATTGTCATAATGAGCACGACAGTTAGGAGTCGCTCGTGGCTTACAGAGCTACCTTTTTATGTCTTAGAAGCAATTTGTCTAAGTCAAGCCTGCAATAAACTGTAGAGTTGATGTTGGGGAAATTTATACAGTCCCTACCTGTTACATGGAAAATTCAAAGCCCTTTTGTTTCCTGGTTGTCAGGCTAACGTCATCCACGTCTTTTCCCAGGGTTGCATTGCTTAAAAGGGAAATGCAAATCTCTTTTGTTTGTGATGCTATTTATAGTTATAACTATAGTTTATATTCCAAGGAAGAGGATACTAAACTTTCCTGTCACAGACTTTTAATAGTTCAGCCTAAGAACAGGTTCAAAGCAGTTTCAGAACAGCTTTGTACAGGTCAAAAAGCAATTCTCCTTCCTGACACTACATAGCACCTCACATTGCAAATAGCTCAGATGTAACGTATGTTTTTGAGGATGCTAGTTAGTGTGGCTCAGTACTCTTTTCTGTAATATTTTTTAAAAACATTATCAATTTGTTATTGTTCACTTGATATCTGCTTCACTGGTACAGATGTTAGAAGAAAATGGCAAGCAAGTTTGGTTTCTCAGATTTTCTATCAAAACACAATGTAAAGATAATGTGTATGAAATTATTCTGAAAACAAGGCTTTCTATTTTGCAAGCCAGTCTTTGAGAAGAATAAGTGCTCTCACCACATGCGCTGGCACTGTGGAATAAATCTACATGACATATGACAAGCAAGAAAGGGCAGATCATTCATCATAGGGAGCACAGGCTGCCCTTGGATAGCATCCCAGACAGTCCACTGGTTGCTGCTGATGAGTTAGCACAATCGAAACCATACCAGCTGAGTGTGCATGAAGGAAAACTGTGCATTTAATATTGAATAGGTGTGGTGAAGTCAAGCATATAAAAACCCATCATGTCCTGAGGATACAGAACCATATGCAGGCTAATCATAGCAACAATGCCTGGTGTCTGGCAATTGAAAGGAACTTCACTCCCAAGAATAGAAACATATATTAAATTTCCAGTTCTAAGTGGGGAGCCAGGGGCAATTCCACTTTATTTGGTAATGAAGAAACTGTTGTGTTTTGGCTGGGAAAGGGGATAAGCCAATCACTTGCATTCCCATGTGCTTTTTTTGATAAAACCAGAAACCAGGAAAAAGGGGATAGGGTCAGTCATAAGGTCATATTTATTTTGTGTACTGTCCTCTGTAGATATTGCTGTGAGAGAAAATGAAAGTCACAAGTCTCTGAGGAGGATAAAGGGGAAGAAAGGGCATCTTTCTAAATGGGTTTTAAAAACAGTGTCCAAGCCTTTTGTACATCAGCTTCTAATTAACACATTTCTTTTTTTACTGTCCTATTATCCCATGAAATCAAATGGCTTTGGAGAAAAGTGTAGTGTTTTCTCACCATTACTGCAATCTAATTGTTTTTACATTAGGTTCCTGATCCTCCCTGTATTGAGGCCAATGGCAAAATTCCAGTAAACCTCAATAAGTGAAGAGTTGGGTCTTTATTAGTTTATAATCACAGGGATTACAGTAACATGGGATGACATCATGTTTCCTCCAGGCCAAACTTTCACAATTACACTGGTAATGTACCCAGAAATGCTATTGCACCAGTGTAGTAAAGAAAGATGTGAGTGTGTTGAATTTCATGTAGCCACTACACACAAGGCTCATAGGGTCATAAGAAAGTTCAAGAGGTAGGAAACGACTCAGTAGGTCTCTGTTTCAACCTCCTGATCAAGTCAGGGTCAGCTATGAAATCAGACCAGGTCATTCAGGAGTTTATCAATTTCATGCAAGACGCAAGGGATGGGGAATGTGGTACTAAGCCACCTTTTCTCTTAGATATGTGGGGTTTGAATGAAAGTCAGTCTTTGGAATAATTCTGAAGGAATTATAGGTTGGTTTAACCTCAGTTCTTGATAATGATCCTCTGAAGTCCCCAGCTGGAGAAAAAAGTTTGCACTGTGGGATTCCACACACTTGTAGTGCTTCTGTAGATCTGGTGACTAGAGTTTGCTTCCTTTATTTCACTTTTCTATTTTCTTCCTCATCTTTTTTCTCTTCTAATTTCTTTTCAACATGCATTTCTAAATTATAAGTTACTGAATTACTGCAAGAAAGGGAGGGTTTTTTTCTGTCTTCTTTTTTTTAATTCGATGTTCATGCAAGTTTTTGAGCAAGGCTGTGGTTACATCATGTCCTACTAGCCGGATGCTGATGGGTGAGATGAGCAATGATCACCAGAGAAATGCTACTTTGTAGAAAAATGTAGAATAGGAAACTGGGAAAGGCAAATACTGCATGTGAGAGGGTTTAGTGAGAAAGAATTACTCAGAGTTGCAAATCAATGTGTTAGGTGGCAAAAGATGTTGAAGCCTACATTTGTGCAGCAACTGAAATTTCAAATTATTTCAGTCTCTCTCTCTGTATGTTGCAGGCATTGAGCTGATCTGTGAAAAAGACATCGATCTTGCAACACAGGTTCAAGAACTGCTGGAATTCCTTCATGAGAAACAGCATGAGCTGGAGCTTAATGCTGACCAAACTCACAAGAGGTTAGAGCAGTGCCTACAGCTCCGGCACCTACAGGCTGAAGTCAAGCAGGTGAGAGTTTTTAACCACACTTAAGGGTCTTAAATGGCTTTTCAGCCATTACATACACGCAGAACTGACCCCATAACTTCTCAACTGGAGAAGCTGCCTCAAACTCCAACTGTTCTGGGAATACAATGATTTGATTCGGGATTCAGATTTAAGCTCTTGTGGAGAATTGGCCTGAAGCAAAGGATAACTGAGCTGGGAGGTCTAAGTATGACATTGTGGTAGTTTCACCTTTTCATTTATTGCTATGCATCTGTTGACCTGCAGGAATCTTTAATATCTTCTGACTGAGATAAAAAATTCTGCCTCTCTAGATGCTAGGACTTGTTTAGCCATCCTTGTATTGTAACATTGCCTTTCTTCCAGATTTCATCCTAGTGTAGGCAGTTGTGTTCAGTCTCCCTAGGTTTCCCCTGATATTTAATTTGGATGCCTCACATTTCTTTGTTTTCCTTTGCTACACAGGATAACACTACACTTCCTGCTTCCTAATCCATAGGTGGCTTCACACTTCGGTGTATATCTGGATTTCAACGGAATGAAATGGTCTTGATTTCCTTAGGAAAACCAGGAACATTTTTCCAGGCACCTGGAATATTCAGATTTCCATTTTACCTGTACAAATGGGAGGGGGGTTATTGTGTTGTTTGTTTTTCTTTCCAAATGCTATAAGGTGTTCATCAAAAGATTTACTTCTTTGTTTACTAAAAAAAAAAAAGGAATATACTGAGTGCTCATTACACATGATCATAGTTATTCATTCTTCAAAAATGAATTGTTTTATCATTGCTGGCAAAAAATCCTTCATTCTGAGACAACTCTCAAGCTAGAAGCTGGCAGCACCAACACCAGTGCATACGTTTTCTTTCAAAGTCCACTTCGATGTGAATATTTTGCAACTCTAAAGGAAAATAGCACCGAACTCTCCTAAATTTTGATTTTGCAAATATAGTAATTTTGAATTTGTGGTAATCAAAAGCCAACTCTTCACAGAGCTCCAGAGCTCTATCAGAAGCTTTGGCTTTCCTTAAAAAAAAAAAAAAAAAGAGAGACTCTGTGATATTCATAATCACCATCTTAATATGATTATGAAGTGAATCCTTTTTTTCGATAGGTTCCCAAAGTTTCTTACACATAACTTCATTAAGCTTGGAGTTTTGTGCAGTAGATTTATGATAAAGTAGAGCCATTTTAATTTATGATAGAAAATAGAGAGGAGTAACATGTAGCAGAAATGCTAGAAATGCAGGAGGTTGTCGCGCTCTGGCCAAGTGTCCGCTTGACCAGGATGAAGTGCCAGTCGACTAGCCCTGTGGCTGCTCCTGGAGCCGTACAGCGGCAGTGCAGCACTCTCTGCAGGTACCTGACGTTACTTGCTTCATTGTCAAGTATCTGCTGGGCCTTAACTATTTTAGAAACCAAAATCTAACCAAAGGAAATGGTTTTAGGACTGAGCTATCTCATACTTACTGTAGAGGCAACAGCTGCCTTGGATTAGTATTTCCTTGATGGAGCTTGGGACCATCAGAGCCTTCATTACTATGTGAACTTTCAGAAAACCAGTTGTGAAGAATTGTTTTATTTGTTCAGCTGAATACTGAGGACTCCTTTGCTTATTAACCTATAAATTACCAAAGCTACAGTTTCCCTTAGAAAGAGGCAAGTTAAAATATATCTGTGCCCTATCTATTTGGTTTCCTGTAGATGAGTCATATTCCCAACCCTTTAGTGAAATTGGGAAATATATTGATTTTTGGCTTGTAATTCATCTCCAGTCTGGTCCAGATTTCCTTCACTTTCATTTTAGTGCATCTGAGACAGTGGATGATCTCATTACTGAATTGTTCTCACTCTTGTGAATCAGTTGAGATGTGGTTGCTGCAAGACACCTACTGTAGCTGTGGTTAAGTTCTGCTGACATAGTAAAATTGGTCAAGGCTGCTGCACGTACATGTGTTTGCATTTTGACATCATGGCTTGTGGAAATACAAAGTCTTTTAACTGTCTCTATCTATTTAAGTCTCATTTACCAGAGATTTCTGCTTTATATCACATGCACCAAGGTTTCAAATGCCAAGACAATGAATCGAAGTTTGGGACCATTGAAGTGGAACAATTCCAAATGAGATGTTCTGTGAACTGCTTTAGAGTGGAAATAGCACAGATCAGTGATTCACAAACTCTTTGTTTTTAAGAAAGATCCTGCCCAAGACTGATTTCCCCTCATTTGGATCCCACTCATTTCCGACAGAAACTACGGAGCTTGAATTGCTTACATAAAAGTAATAGCAGAATAGAGTTGTGGAGATCAGTTTAAAAAAAACAAACTCTCTAATGCTGTACTTGCAGCTGTTTGGCTTGCTTATCCCCTTATTTTATCTTTGTATGATTTATTTCTTTTTTTGATAAGGATTGAACTCGACCTACTTTACTCCCAGATATCCTCACAGTGTCCTGCTACACTTATTTTCCAGGTTGTTTTGAATTGTAGTTATCCATCCACTTTTGCTGTTTGGCGTTAGATTTGCCTCCAGATGAATATGCCCAAAGGATGATGGGAAGTAGTCCTCTGAAAGACACTGAATATATTTGAGGTTTTCCCAATCTAATGCCACAGAGCTCCTGGAAACCCGATGCAGTTTTGAACATGGCTAAAATTAACAGAAGCTGGTGGTCATGTCTATGGTAGTAAGAGCCTCTCAAAGAAGCTGTGAAGAGTCCAGAGATGTAAAAGATTCACTTACGTTATTTTGCCTTTTAAACTTAAAAATCTTTTCCACTGTAACTCAAGGGGTATCGTTAGCAAAGTCTTAAGCCTTTTTCAGGAACATCAAGGAAGGCATGCTGACCAAATAAACCAGCAGACAGAAACACTATGTGGCACACAGCTCTCATTTCTTAAAGAAGGCTGCACAAGAGTTGCCTCACTTTTTATTTTTCCTGTAAGGTCTGATTCTGTGCTCAGTGAAGATGGCAGGGTTTCAGGGCATGAATTTTAGAAGAACTTGGTACTATTATTTAATTTCAGAGGAGCCATACACAGAAGTAGCCTGTTTTAAGCAAATTGGAGTCAAAGGTGGGAGCTGTTTCAGAAGTGTGGTGGTTGCTGTGTCTGACAACTCATGCTTTGCAGTGAAATTGTTCTCCAGTGGCAACTGTCTTTTATCTAAGACGCTGTCCATGTGTTTCTACTTCTCCATTATTAAAAAAAATAAAAATGGTTAGGCCTTTTAAGAGAGTCTTTGGAGATTTATTTAACTCCAGGGTTATTTAATCACTGCTTCTACAAAGTTGATAAAATCTGTAATTTGTAGGAAATGTCTGTTTAAAGCCATCTTTTACTGTTGGCCTGTCTGCACGTTGCCAGATAATGGTGAATCTATTAACACAGGAAATGATCAGAGGAGTGTCTTGGTGCTGTATTAGCTGCTATACATATTTTAATGAAAAAGTATTAAGCACTATATAATTAGGAGGCAATTCGTGAACAGGTCTTTTAAACCAGATATGAATGTGTAAATGCTCTCTTTGAACCGTTTCACAGTCTACTTCCAAACCAGAGGCAGCAAAAGCCCCTACAGGTGATACAGGTGACTGGGTTTTGCACTTAGACTTAAGAAGCTTTGGATATGCAACTGAAATTTTTTCTTACTGTATGTAAACAACACGTGCAAAAGAAGAGGCAAAACACCTAAGAGAAAAACATTTCTATGGAAAAAGCTGCTGCAATGGCAAATGAGGCCCTGACGTTTAAGTGTTAGACTTCTGGAAGTAGAATGGGCTCATTATTTAAGTTCTTTCAAGCAAAACTTGCTAATGTTTGAGGGCTCACTGGGCCTGGAAGGGGGAGTGCAGGAGCCCCACAGTGAGTGCCTGAGCCCACAGTCTGGGCACAACTCAGGGATGGCAGCAGCCTTGGCCAAGGAGAGCGCTGTAAGCATTGCTGGCAAGATGTAGTCCATCAGAACCTGACCTGAACTGCTTTACCCTGAATATTTTTATGTCAACAAGATAGTTGTACGTTGGAATGCACGTGTATCATTAACACTGGAGGAAACCTGGCTGCTTTTGGTTGTATGATCCCTCTTCCTCCTTACTCAATCTTGTTCCTATTAGCTTTTCACTAATTGAGTTGCTTTGTTTTAAGACTGAGGCTGCACTGGTTTTATTACTATTTAGAGACTCGTATATTTATATGAAATCTGCATCAAAACCTCTGTGGCAGGTTTTGAAAATTTCAGCTCAAATGAAAGCTGTTCCCAAGAGGACCCTGTCATGCCCTGATTGTATTGTTTTAAAAAAAAAAAAAAATCTGGTGCATTTTTAACATACATACTCAGTATTTCCTACACTCTAAATGGCCCAAGCCAAGATATATCACGGTATATAAAATGTGAAAGCATGTCTTGCTTTATGATGTCCTTACTTCAAGTCTTTCCCAGATACAGTGGTTCCTTGGTTAACTTCAGCTTTTTGGTACCATGTAGTAGGTAATAATGTAGCTTTCGTGTCTGATGGATTATAGAGAATGCCAGCCAAAAAGATTGCCATATGATAACCTGATTTCTTTTCCTTTAAATCTTTGTTGCATTTCCCACAGGAACAATAACACCTGCTGATGAAAGAGAGAAAGCTGACAAATGAAATCTTCCACACTGTTGTACTGAGCAGAATGTAATTTTCTACAAATTAGGGTCAGCTACATGTGTAGATGGCTCTCCTTTCTTTCTCGTAGGGAAAACTCATTTTCCTACCCTGTGGGGAACTGAATGGCTGTAACTAGGGTGATATATGATGTAGGGATAAAAACCAAAACAACAGAAAATACCTATTTCTTTCAGAAAATTTAATGGATCACTTGGTGAAAATGAAGCCACAAAAGGGAAATTACTATGTAGAATATTGCAGCAAAGTCAATTTTGGAGCTTTGTAAATCATGAGCTAAATTTAGGGCAGTGATTGGGCAGTCAGGATTTTCTGTGCATCTGTGAATTTAATTCAGCAACTTTCTGGCTTTATTGGAATAATTTACACCCACACAGGTAGAAAATAGGCTTTGAAACAGCACAGCAAAGCACTTGCAGTGTGTTCTTGGTGTTAATTTTCGAAAACCATGTCTTAAAATAGCAGAAAATGCTGCTTCTTAAATGAATAAATACAAGCTTGATAGATTAATTATGTATATTTAGGATTTGATTCTGCAGTCATTACAGCATCGGTTGCATGTCTACAAGTAATCTGAATATCCCTGAAGTAAAGCTTCTTGACTAAATATAAAAAGCGAGACCTGGGATTTCTTGCTAGCCCTGCATGCAGGTGGAAACTCCAACTGCATCTTAACTCTGTGGCCAGATGAGATGAACTGCATCTTCTCCCTCTTCATCCTTAAGCTCTGACTTTTGTGTGAAAGAAACACAGGCAAGTAGGGCAGAAAGGAGTGGCAAAGTCCATGATTACAGTTAGAAATTTGAAAAAGAGAGAGATCTTTGTGTTTAATTTCGAATCTCCCTCATTACGCTTTGTGGTTTTTCCCTGGTGTATATGCATAGGGGAACATCCATTTTTGTGATCACCTTGGAAATGAAAGCCCTTTGCTATCCAAATATCCATGTAAATATTTTGGGAGTTTAATTCTTCAAGCAATAACTTCTTTAATAAGATCTTTGTCCTCTGAAAATATATGTCATTAAGTCTTTATCCTAGGATTTCTTTCTGATCACTGACTAAACCTGAAACCCCACTGGGCAAAGTACCTTTTTGTTATCCAGGCTGAAGCATTTCTGATCAGTGACTACATAAACCTTTGTGCTGAAGCAAACTTTCCATAAGCACATCCTTTCTTTACAGGTGCTTGGCTGGATCCGGAATGGTGAATCAATGCTGAATGCAAGCCTTGTCAATGCAAGCTCCCTCTCTGAAGCTGAGCAGCTCCAACGAGAGCATGAGCAGTTTCAGCTGGCCATAGAGGTAACACGAATAAATGAACTCTGTTTCTCCTTCTGTGGTCAACGTCATACAAAAGGTTATCTCTTGGGCATCAGTCATTGCTTACTTGAAGGAAGGGAAGGAATAAAACCTTTAGAAAATCAACTTGGCATTAAACTCTTAGTGCAGCCAGAGGTTAATAGTGAAATAAATTATTTATCATCTGCAGCTAATTCTTTGGCTGTCAGATATCAATCTTTCCATTCATGAAAATGACACTTATGCATCTCCTGATAATGTCTTTGGTAAAAAAAAAATAAATAAATTAACATTCACAAAGTGATCTGAAAATGGGAAAAGTTTGTGAAGTCAGTTTCTTCCTATGTCCATCATTTGGAGATCATTTCACAGCATTTATTTATGAATATCTTTGTTACTGGGTAATGCTCTCACATGAAATCTTTGGTTCATTCAACTCTCCTTTTGTTGACAGCAAGTGAGACATTCATTCAAACCCACATTCTCAAATAACTTTAGAGACAAGAGGGGTGATTTTTACAACTTGCCTGCAAAACTGAGCTTTTGCCCCTACTTGCCCTGGAGTAGCACGTCTTTGACCTGGCCCTCAAAAACTAATTGTGAGCCAACTCATTTGCCTCACTCACGGGGCCAGCACATGGCAGGAGGAATAGCACTCTGAGCTGCTTTCCTTTGGATGAGAAGGCAGTGGAGGACTATGGACTCCCCTGAGTAGGGCACTGGAAGACTCATAGTTAGGCTCAGTATTTTTATATATCTTTGTCATTATGAACAAACCCTACTCTCACAGGATGTGCTCACTCCAGTGTGAGAAAGAAGGAGCATTGCTTTCTCCTGTTCCTGCTTAACAAGGTGTATATGCTTCCCAGGTTATGTTGTTACCTTTTTACAGAGCAAAGAACAAGTTGGAAAATGCCTTTATATGGTTTATATATATCTGAAAATAAAAAAACAAACTTTAAACTATGAAAATAATATTTCCATAATGGAAATTTGAAGAGATACCTGGTTTTGAGGAGGGAAAGTGTCTTTATGTCTTCTGGTAAACTTTAAATATGTCAATATACATTGTAGTTTTGCTAGTAAGTATAAAGTGTAAATCTCAGCTAATGACCTATTTTGATCCAGCTCCACTCACACTAAGGAGCAGCTGTTGCAGCTCCAAGGGAAAAGGAAGAAGTTTTCTATCAATTCTGTATGAGCTGGCTGGTACCAAGCTGTGCTGACCACATCTTGGCAGCCGTCGCCAGACAGCGGTGGGGAACAAGACACCCACTGGCTGCGTTATCGCAGCTTGCGGCCGTTGAGGAAGTGCTTGAGTTTGGTGGTAAATGCAAATCACAGAGGGAGAAGAGGGTTACACCACAGTAAGGGGAAAATAAGTTTTCAAAGGGAGAAAACACTAGATTAAATATTTAAAGTGTTTAAAGCTCAGTATGGAGAAGAGATCAGCAAAGCACACAGAGCAGACTGTTCTCTAAAGGCATTCTAGATGTGGAATTGATTTTCAGTTGAAATCCTTTAAAGTCTATTTAAAACAAGTATTACAACTCTAACATCAGTAAAGCAGCTGGATATTAAATTTAACCAGTTGTTCTTGAATGTCTTCCTAAATGTTTCTGCCAAGTATTAATCCTTTTTTTGCTAATAGCTTTCTCTACATTGCATTATTCATCAGTGTATTACCAGACGATTTCAAGCTTCTTTCCAGGTCCAAAGATTAGATCATAAAAGTATCACATGAGAATTTGTCAGCAGCAGTTACAAATGGGATGCAGAACAGAGGAGTCTTTGGGAGATTTTTAGGGCTTCTGTTCAAAAGATTAAAATCAAATATTGGACTAAACCATGCCTGAACACACTTACTTAGGAGGCTGTGAAGGGCCAGGGACTGTTTTCCTCTCAGCAACCCACAGGAAGGTGTGGAACCACCACTTGGAAGAAGGTGTAACCACCACTTGGCTACTCTGAGTGGAGCTGGTGCAGGCTGGGGGATGGGGGA